TTTTATTAAACATTTCTTTATCCATCTGCAATTTTTGTTATATTTTTAGTCAATCTGTAGAAAATTCTAGGAATAGTAATCTTTACCTTTCAAAGCTGTCACCAGTATTTTCTCCAGCTTTTTATTTGCCATTTAAATCTAGCTTATTTTGATTTTTGACATGCAGAAGTTTTCGGTTTTAGTAGTTAAATTTACTGATCTTTGCCCTGGTGACTCCGCCCCTTGCTTTTAAACTTAGAAAGAGATTTCTCTTATCCAGAGATTTAATAAAGATACGTTTAATTTTCTTTTTTCTCTTTCTCTCCTTTCTCTCTCCCCCTCTTCTTTTTCTCCTCCTTCTCCTCCTTGTCTCAAAGCCAGCTTTAAATAAAATGAACCACTAAGCTAGCCCCAATTGCTTTGGTCTCTTGGGGATCTCGTAGACCAAGAAAAACGTAGGGTTGGGATGGATTTCTCTACAACACAACCCCCTCCCTCTCCCTCCTACATAAAAAGCAATTCAGTGTCAAGCTCCCCAATAAGTGTCTGACAATTCATAAACCGCTGAAGTGAAAGGTGGCCTTTAGATATTCTGTATATAAATTTAGTCAGTTATACAGAGAGAATGAAAAAAATATGGCCTGATTCTGATCAGATGCTGCTTGTTTCTCCTTATACCATGGGGTTCTGTTCTATGTCATTTCCTTTGAAGTCAGTGGGAGCTCTGTGCAGGACGGCAAGGCGAACACCGGCCTCTATACATGAAGGTGAGAACTGCCATTACGATAAACTATTCGGCAATGCGGTGGAGGGAACATTGGTTTAACACACTTGGTGGCTACCCTGCAGATCCCACTGTCTGTGAGAGCTTTGTTCACCCAGAGCAAACAAGAACTTTTTGAATCTTGACATACAAGGGCTCATTCAGCAGAGCATCCCGTTATGAGAGGAGGCACAGTGCTGGGCAGACATTGCAGTTTTTAGCCAGCACACTGAGGGCATTTCTCTCACATTCTCTCCATCTGTAAAGAGACTGTTTTCCAGACCCCAACATGGTTTTCTATAGATTGGAGAGATGTATAAATATTTTTACATGTTTGTACTCACATATAATGGGGGACAAACTACAGTCATATCAAAGTAGCTAGGCCTTTTCAATAAGAAATAATTCTTTGCAAATTTTAGCTGAGGTTGTTATTTGGTGAAAAGCAGAGCATGTAATAGAAACAACGAGAGGAATTTTAACATGGAGAAGATATTGGAAATGAAGAATCATGTACATTTGCTTTCTGTATCTCAGGGTTGTTATTTTGTTAATTAGCCTATAGAGACTTTCTCCCTTTCCCCACTTTCACAAAGAGTTATGCATCATTTTTTAGGAACCCAAATCAAATAATGTTTTCAGATTGTTATACTACAAACATTGGAATAAATAGAGGTCAAAGAGCAAATTGTGCGAATTGATGGGTGATATTTTTCTACCAATCCCATCCCCTGACCAAAATAGTGATGTCCCCTTACTGATTCCTTCATCATACCATTCTGCTCCTGTCTCTAGGACATTGCTTATGCTGTAGTAGACACTCAGCTTCAAGGCCCTTCAATTCCAATGGCCCACCCCAGAACAGGACACTAGCATTTTGTATTTCTAATTTCTCCTGTTGGATAGCATTAAAGTGGAGCAGCCCTCCTCTTTTTTTTTTTTTTAAACTTATGATTTTGAATTCTTTTTCAGTAAACTTGTATCCACCTCTGCATATAGAACACCCTTTCTTGCCACAGGCCATCATCAGGTGGCCAGCATAGGATGAGATAATCAGGGGAGAAAATGTAGTTGGAAGAGAAGAGAAAGGATTAAGTTCTGGAGCATTCCAAATTTAACAGATTGGGGACAAGAAAAAGAATATTCAGGAGATCATTCCATAATAGTACACAGGGAGCAGCATCACTTTTTGGAACAATACTTGTGTTGCAATGGAATAGCTATAAACTGTTCTATTCTGTGTGAATATGCCCTAATTTATATAAGCAATCCTCTACCGACAGCGCCTTATAACTGTTCCACCTATGCTCAGTTTATTCTCATTCCAATTCACTCTACATACTGCTTAAGTTAATTTTGGATTATTTTCAGTTATTTGTGCCTGGATGAAAAATGGAAAATTGGGTAAGTAAGTATATTACATTTATGTGATGCAAGATGGTACAATTATGATTTTTAATAAGAAAATAGCTATGAAATAATGTTGAGTGAATAATGCATAATCCCAATTTATACACAAACATGTACACACACATATACATACAAATATATGACCAGAAAAAAATTCTACAAGTTTATCCATCAAAAGTGTAGCATTTCTGGATGGTGGGTTTCCAGGTGACTTTTATTTTATTTTTAATGCTTTTCTGTGTTTTGCAGATTTCCTTCCTGAAAAAGTTATTCTAAAAGTGTACTTATGTTGCTTCACAGGCAGGAGACCAACTTTGATTCTTTACTGCCTAAGAAGATAATGTCCAAATATCTTACTTTAGTAGTCAAGACCCTTCAGACTAGAGGCCCAAACTTTTTGTTTCAGTTAAAAGGATCTGCTCAAAGACTTCTGGACGTGCTCTGTACTCTTCTCCCACACTTTTCTAAAAGCTAAGATTCTTTTTATTTCCATCCTTTTCCTAAAATTTCTACAAATCCTTGAAGACACTATTTGTTTCACCTCTTGTCTCTAAGACCATGAATAATGGAAGAGGTCTCCACATATTAGTGACTCTGTTGTTATATCCATTTAGTATTTACCACAGGGTATTTTGCATTATTATGGTTCCTTTTCTATGAGACCATAAGTTATCTCTCCAATTGGCATTTTGATTCTTAGAACACAGGTTCTGTGACTTAAGCGTCACACTCTGTGGAGATTTTAAAAACAGAGTTCTCCATGTATGTTCTTGGTAACCCTTAACCCCCTGTGTCTTGTTCACAGAAAGTGTGTAATAAACATTTGCAGTCATTTAGAACGAGTTATTACAAATAATATATATAAAAAACATATAACATACTATATATTTATATATGTTTAATGTGGAATAACTCTGGACCTTTCTCTTTATATACATGTTTGTATCTTCTAAGTGCATTGAACTTATTGAAAGAATAATAAAATTTCAGCAGTTATTTACAATAAAGGGAATATTTTAAAGACACGTAGTTATGAGCTATTGCTTAAGCATTCTTTCTTCCTTCACGAAAGGTCATTGGTCTTCTCTTTCGGGAATGTTCTCTTCTTCTTGTCTCTTGAAATACAGTGTAGCTTTACTTTTCTTCTTTATTCTCTGGTCCCAAATATAATCTCCACATGTGCACTATCTTTGTAGGTGATATACTTCCTGCCTCAGTGAAATCTAGCTCCCAAATGAATTTCTGTTGGTTTAGAGAGCAACTTGAGGATTGTGCATTTGGCACCATTCGATTTCCTTGGCATCTCTCCACAGTTACCATTTAGAAAGCTTCTGGTCGGCAGGATTCCTCTCCATCGTACACTCTGTGGAGATTAAAAAAGGATTGTATTACATGGGCTTGAAAATGTGATGGAAAATGAAATTTGCTTTACCAAGAAAGGGAGCTTTTGAAACTCAAATTGTTCTAATAGGACAAGGATCGTTCTCAGTGGAGTTAAATGGCAGATATGGTGACAGTTCCTTCTTATTTAGATTTCCGCTAAATAAATATCACTATGTTTGAAATCACTCACACAAATAAAGCAAGTTACGAAACAATGTGATTATATTTATGTTCTAAAAAAATATGGGTGTGTATATACTTATAAAGCAAACTTGGATTAAGATCTTTAGAAAGGTTCTGAGCACTGAAGAGCTTATGGTGCATATGATATGATATCCTATTATTTACTTTAAGATTAAAACAATGTTAAAATTAAATAAGTATAAGGGAGGCCCAACAAATTCTGATTTTTTATGTCTATGCATTTGTAAAAAGATGTTGAATTTTTTATAAAAATTTTTTTCTAGTCTTGGCTTGCTGGTGCCTTAAGTACATACTTCCTCAGCCTATTATGAAATTCTGTTTCATTTATGTGGATGTAAATGCACAGAAGAAAGTCTGGAAAGGAACATATCAAATCATTAACAGTGGTTACACCTTCTGAGAGGAGTGGGCTGGGGAATGAGGAGTATTGTGCTTTTCCATTTTACTCTATTACTCCCAAATATCTATAACTAAAATGTTGTCATTTATTTCATGCACAATTATTAAAAACAAATGAACAAACAAATAAACATACTGGGAAAATAAAATAGTAAAATTATTCACCTTTTCTTTTTCTATCAAAGTTTAATATTAAAGTGCTTATATTTGATAAATGTTAATGTAATTAGAGAGCAGCTCAAATCATCTCCCAAACTGAGTATTTTGATATTTCTTCTCCTTCCATCCAATGACATGGTTATATAGCTGCCCACTATTAGTCTTTTTCCAGGTATTGCTGCTAGTCATCATCACCACTAATATTCATGGAGCTCTTACAGTCTGCCAGGCACTGGTACAGAGTTCTATGTATGTTAATTTCTTGAACTCTCACAACATTCCTGTGAGGTAGGAATTGTTATTACTGTCATTTTACAGTTGAAGAAATAGAGGTTGGAGAGGTTTAACTATCTTGTGCAAACTTGAGTCACACAGCTAGCAAGTGATGGAATTGAGATGTGTTTCTGGCAGTCTGACTTCATATTCTGCATAGGAAAGAAGGGAGTGAAACTAATCTGTGATTTAAGATTTTTACTTTATTTCATCGTTGGTATATACACTTTTGTCTAACTGGGAGCTGACTAAAGCATCTGGGTCTAGTTGATGTTTGGTTGAAAATTACTATTATTATGAGGATGATTATGATAGCATTTAGTAATTATGCAGTGCTTTATACTTCAAAGAACTGTGCTTTATAATCATTTATTAACTATGACTCACAACATCTCTATGATATAAAAATGCACTTATCCATATTTTGCAGAAAGAGAAACTGAGGCAGAGTAAGATGAGTCACATTTTCATAAGAAAGAGTGAAAGTGGTATGCAACCTCTCAAATTCCTGAGACTCGATAACAGCTTAATTTGGACAGCAACAAAAGTTTAATTCTTTAAACCTCTTAAAGGTAGGTGTCAGTTCCAATATTTTTCTCAATATTTAATTACAAATTAAATGTAAAATATGCTAAAAATTGATGTCCATTTCATTCTAGGTTCTCAGTTTTGGAGCTTTTACTGCATTCATGTCCGTGTGACATTTTTGCTCAAATTCAACCTTGCCGTCTCCCATTTCTCCACAAGCATAATTTGACTACAGATATTGGTTTTCAGTGTTGATATTATATTGCTTCAAATTGCTTCCATTGCCTTTAAAAGATGCCTTTTGTTCACCACATGCATGGGATTCTTCATAATAACTTGCAGTAAAAACAAATTTTGTGCAAGAATTATTTGGAAAGGAAAGACGTCTTAGATGTCTGACAGTTTGTATACTTGATAATCGAAGATTATAAACACGTCATTATGACTTGGGGTGAGAGAGGGAGAAAGATGAGTAGGATCTCTGTGGGTTAATTATAGCACCCTATAAGGGGCCTGGAAGAAATACATGCACTCTTTGATAAATCTGGTAGTCTCTTTCAGTTGAGAGGCATTCATGACCATAGCACATATGAAAGGCTCAATAAATTTAATTTAGTGGTTAAGACTATGTCTGTGGAGACAGACTACCTGGGTTCTAATCCTGGCTCCACTGCTAGTCACCTGAACTAGCTGTGCTTATGTTTCTCTATCCAGAGGGAAAACAATGAAGAAAGAAAGAGGATCACACTCCATAAAGTTAGTTATTATGAATTTTATTCAAGTTCTTGCTATTATTTGTCTTTTCTATGTCCAAGGCAGTTGACAAATCACATTAGCTATAACTCCATTTAAACGTTGCTGGTAATGATATTTATAATTTGATGTCTACAGTTGCCTGGCTTGTTTAGAAATGGTGCAACATGGTACCCCACAATTTTCTACCCCAGAAAAACAATTTTAAATGACCTCATAATACATTGGAAGAAATAGTTATGAGCACATGTAAAGTTTATAAGACAAAATTTTGTACTTGTTTCTCCAAAATATCCATATGATCCCACACACCAGAGGCGTCAAACTCAGTGCCTATCATGAAGATTTCACATGTGAATAAGGCCAACTCACTATACTACTTGAATAAAGCTGCTGCATCTGAGCTAAAGACACTGATGTCTTGTGGGATGTACATCCAGTCTGCCAGTGTCTAAATTTTCAAGAGACCCCAGAAACTGGGATAATTATTATTATTTTTTAACGTAACATTTCTTAATTTAAAATTTTTGGCTCAATATATTTCTTGTTAAAAAACTGTGTAGGTCAAGCAACATATTTGAGGGCCATTCGTCAAATCTCTGCCAACTGTACTAGTATCTCCATATGAGTACATTGTGCTGTTATTCATATCAGCAAATGCTTTTTAAGGCACTCATACAAGGTGAAGAAGACAAAATATGACAGTCTTTATGAAGCTCACGAATTTAGAGAAGAGACAGGCAAAAATGTCACAGGAGAGAGTGAAAAATGCCATAGCAAAGTGTGAAACCCAGGACTTAAGCCTGGTGCTTTAAGTATTTGATAAGGCCCACTATGAAAAGAACTGAAAACAAAGAATCCCATTATTTGAAAGCTTGACAAATAGTGGATACGCAAGGAGATGGTTCTTTTGTTTAACAAAAACACCTTAATGGATTTTAGGGGTGGGAGCTATGCATGGACAGGGCCATAGCCTCACACAGTTCTAGGGGGACCATTCCTATTGTGGTCTGTGCAATTGGCACCCCTTCGAGCACCATTCAGGTTGTATTCTTTGTGAATGCTAACCCCTGGAATTGTGCAACTCTGCAATTCTGTCAATGAACACAGGCCTGGAGTCTGGTCGGAGAGGAGGATTGAAAGCTAAAATCTTCTACATAATAAAGAGGAATTTTAAGTCTTCATCTAGGGAGTAGAGGCAGGAGGGTGGAGGGGTGCTTATAATGGGGAAAAGGGTTTGGAGGAAACATCTCTAGGATGAAGATGGGTCAGCCATTGGGCAACAACTTGGAGCCTATGAACCTGGTGAAAGATTCCCTGTAATTTTGCAAAAAGCTACATGAAATCCTCTGTCATCTTCTTTAGCCTCCAGGAGACACTGACAGATGAAGTCAAGTGACTTTTTCTTTGACACTAAGTATAGCTTTTGAACCTCTTATGTATAACTTAGACGATAACAAGAAAAGGCTCAGGCTCACATAGCAATACTTGGCTAAACATACAATACTATAATAACTTGCCTTTTTACTGTTTTTCTTCCAAAAGCTCAAAGCGCTTACATTTTTATTTCCTCATTTGTTCTAACATTCCAGTGTGGGAGGGGCAGATTTATGATAACATTATTTATAGATGAAGAAATAGAAATAGAGATTAAATCGTTTACTCAGTGTTGCATAGTTGGGGTGGTGGAGCCCACACTGGAATTTGGTTCTCCAAGCTCTTGCCACGAAGTGGAAAAATTATGAGTTTTGGAATTAGAGGGATCTTTGTTTGAACAATACTGCTTTCTGCCCCTTAATAAGAATGTGGCCTTAAGTCAATTACTTCATCTAAGCATCAGTTTTTCTCTTCTGTAAAATTAAGACTGTAAAACTTCATAGGAGTGTAGTGAAGATTAATTTAGAAAATGCACATTAAGTCCTAGCACGGAATAGTTCTCAAAGAAGATTAATTCTACCCCTAACCTAGTATTATCTGATTAAATTTTGGTACAAATTTAAAGTAATAAAGAGTCCTACATTAATACTAATTTTTTTCTAGCCTCATCTCCCACTGATGGCAAACCATGAATAAAAATGTTTTACTACGTCATTTAATTCAATGGAAGAACTTTTGCTTCAGTAGAGTTCTTCATGTTGGGGACAATTTGAAAAAAAGAAATATGTAGAAGACGAGATAGAGTGCAGTGGTTCTAAAACTTGAGAATATACCAGAATCACCTAGAAGACCTGTTAAAACAAAGATTTCTGGACCCCACTCCAGGGTTTCTGATTCACAAGGTCTGGAATGGGGCCTAATAATTTGCATTTGTAACGAGTTCAGAGATGATGTTGATGCTGCTAGTCCAGGGACCAGACCTCAGAGAAGCACTAGCATGGTAAAGTATAATTCTGGGGATAAAGGCCCTGCAATCTGTATTTTACTAAGACCTCCAGGTGATTCTGATGCATTCTTAAGTTTGAGAACCACAGGCATAGCGGGTAAAGCATCTGAGGAGACAGACTCACATTCCGATTCTGACTGCACCATTTACTAGTTAGATCACCAGGTTCAATGACAAACTTCCAGCACCTTTGTGTCTCGCAGGGAGTTTGATAACTTCTGAGATTCAGAATTCCTCTCTCTCCTTCTAAACCCTTGGTGGTAAGAGAAGTTAGTGAGTCCTGCCAATCCAGGCTCTGTTTTTTACTTCTTCACACTCCAAAGTTCGAAAGGCTGCTTAAATTTGGGTATTAAGAAAGTATTTACAAACACTTCTGTGACCACAAAAATAAATAATATAGAGCTGTAAATAAAGCCAATAACAAAGGCATTGTTTGCATCTTAAATTTATAACAGGTTCTGAACTATTTCCATTTTCCCTGCCTTTTTAAGTAGAAAATTTTAAAACTCTTCCTCCCCCACAGTTTTAAGAGATGCTTGTAAATTTGTTTTGCAGATACTATGCATGCTAAGACGCTTTATACTCTCCTGTATCTGGCCTGATATACAGAGTCTACCTCAGATGTTTGGTGCCTTCCTGATTTTGAGGCATCCCTTCCTGCCTCCTAACCTCATCCCCCTTTCCCAGCCTGGCAACTTACCCTTTGGGTCCTAATATTGTCTTGGCTCACAGTGTACAGGTATCCAGGTTGGCCTCAGGACATTCTTTAGCTCACCTACCTTCATTTTTCCCATTGCAAAAACCTCTTCTCTTTATTTCCTTAACTAACCTTTTCTATTGCCTATTGTTAATCCAGTTTTCCAAATTACCCCTTGCCAGAGCGACTCCACTGGAAGAGAAATTGGTCCTAGTGATAATGGTCCTAGTGATAATGAGAATTATGAGAATTGTTGACCTTTACTCAGTCCTGCATTGCTATTAGATACATTGAAGTGTTTATCATGCTATTAGATACATTGAAGTGTTTATCATTTTCCTTTTGAATTCCTACTACAATCCAGAGATGATTATCTATGTATATATACAACACATAGCAAATATATTACAAATGAGGAAACTGAGGCTTAGAGAGGTAAAGCAATTTGCCCACGGTGAAGAAGTAAAGTAAATAACAGGATTCAGACAATAAGATTCCAGAGCTTCCAGCTCTTGGCCTCTGCGGAAGTTCCAAGTGATGATGGACTATAAGAACATAATTTGGTCCCTGTACTTAAAGAGTTAAAAATCTTGTTAAGGGGTGTATGAGATTTATACACACGAGTTAAAAATCAAGAGCCAGCGTTTGTGGTGTTGGGTTTGGTATGTGACTGCTTTCCTCCTCTTCAAGATGTACATAATAGGACCAATCTCAAGAGACTTGGGGATGGTCAACTGAGTTAAACACCCGAAGTACTTAATACGGTGCCGACAACGTAGTAAGCGTTCAATAAATGTTAACTATCATTATTTTTTTAAAATGCGGATTGGAGTGGAGAGAATACCGGAGAGAGACGGGAGGCCAGAGTATACCCTGGACCCGCACTCTTGGCACCTAAATTCTCCGAGCCTAGGTTTCCTCGTCTGTAAAATTAGGTAGCTGGAATGGCACAACTTAAAAAGCAGCGTTAGCCTGGGCGGGAGGGGTGGGAAGCGAGAGGGCCGGGGCCAGAAAGGGTTATAGACCCGCCCAGGGTGCGGATTTGTGGGAGCCGGACGGGAGAGGCCCCGCCCCGCCCCGCCTCGCCTGGGAGGCCCGGGCAGCTCCAGCCCACGAGCAGTTCCGGTGCCAAAACCCTTCCCTCCTCCTCTCCCCCGGAAGTGCTTTTCCAAGGTTCGGGCCGGAGAGAGGCCTTGTAGACACAGCCGCAGAGGTTCCATCGGCTCGGAATAGGGGCTCCTGCCCGGATCGCAGCCCGGGGGTTTGCGCCCGCCGACCCGTGCCCTGACCCCTACCAGTGTCCGGGCCGATGGTGAGTGGCCGGAGGAGCGGACTGAGACGGCCGCGGGCCGCGTCGGGGCTGGTGCTTTCGGGCCCCTGCCCACTCCGGGCTGCAGGCTGGGT